ACATCTCTCTTCTTCCCCTCCTCGAGGTTTCCCCTTCGCACCTGACGATCCTTCGTCCGCGCGTTTTATTAACTTCTGGTAAGGTTGCGAGGGAGAAACGAGCGCCGGTTAAAACGACCGTAATTCATCAAATTAAACGCGCAGGATAATGGATATTATACACCGGTGAGCACCGTATTCCACGCTTCTTTCTCCTCCCTCCTCCTTCCCTCTCTCTCCCGGAAAACTACTTCCTATCCACCCACTACACTTCCGTCCGCTTGTTGGATGAAGTTAATTAACGGCTCCGGCGCATTCTCGCCAACCAGAAATATCCCAGCCGGCTGAATTCGGTGACACTACTTGGACCGAGACAATTCGCAATTGGGACAATAATTATAAGCGTCGGTAAACCGCGAGAAATTAGGAGGATTTAATCGAGAAGCGAGCCAATGGAAATATCACAATAAGGAACGACGCGAAAAGGTACGTATTCGTCGTTTATTTCCGCGTTGAAGCAAATCGCTTGTCAGGAATCGCAATGGATTCCGAGAGAGATACGTTTTATGAAGGATTCGTCGTATATCGCGGAATATTGAAAATAGGATTGCATAAGATTCAAGGTAATATTCATAAAAAATATTGAAAATGTGTGTTGACAAAAAAAAAATATATATTATATATATATTGAAAAATTTTTATATATTCAAAAATTTGAATCTTTTGTTGGTCTTGAGTGAATATTTGTTGCAAAAACCTCATCTTGTGTTGTTTGGATTTATAATTTCTATCTAATATTGAATGATTTGTTTAAAATAATATATATTTAACATAATCTTTATAATATAATTTAAGATATTATTATTTATGTCATTTGCGTATATATATGTCATTGCGTATATATATGTATATACGCAATAAATATATATATATTTATATATATATATATATATATATATATTTATTTATTTATATATTTATATAGTTATTTAAAATAGACGTATAGAATAATATGTCTTCCCAACCGAATGTTTTCAGGGGATTAGCATGTTGATTTTTTATTCAAAGAAATCACGAGTAAATACTAAACGAATCAATATTATTGTGGTGTTTTGGATTTGTTTGGTCCACTGAAAAAAAACACTTGAATGCCAAGTGATTTTAATGGAAAAATGAGTTTAAAATGCTTATATTGCTATAGTTTAAATGTCCCAGGACAAATTATTCTATTTTGTCGATATTAACGTGTTGATACAATGGGATAAATATATAATATGAAGTAAATAAAAATTCTTTACTGCTCATAATTTTGTCTCTTTATCTGTCTAAAAGTTAGATTCAGGTTTTGATGCAAATGTCCCACGCATTAATTGTTCCTCAGTTTGTTAATATAATATAAATATTCGTTTCTCAGTTTGTTAATATAATATAAATATTCGTTAATATAAATTTATAATAATTTATATAAATATAAATTAATATAAATTTATCAAATAAATGTTTTTTAATTCGTACATAATATAGTGGTTTTTTCTCATTTAATTTACAAATTTATGTATATTTTAGCTTCTTTTGAAAATCAATAATCTCGACTCTTATTTATGGTATCTTGATTAAAATTTTTATCTTGATCTTGTCTCGAATTGCAAGATAAGATAATATTAAAATCAGCATAATCTTAAAATTTCATGCGATCCCTATTAAAGAAATAATAGTAATTTCGAAAAATCTTCTTACATTTTAAAAGACGATTAATATATAATGTGGGATAAAAGTAAATTTCGGATAAATAAGAGAAATATTAAAAGTAAAATATTAAATCTAAAATTAAACATGGGAATTCTCATTTGAAGGACGAGAGCTATTCTTACATAATAGATGAAAAAACGAGTTTTACATGATTTTCAATAATATAAAATCTGCGTCGAGATTCGCGAGATTTCCCGAAATACATACGTACATTGGAATATACCTGTCGCGTCCATCGTAATCCGTTTAGTGACCGGAAAATTACTCGAACGGAAACTAATTAAAGATAGTTATCGGCCGGCTGGTGCAACGAGTTGTGCGAGATTTGTTAATCGGGAATTAATCTCATCGGACGGTAAAGGGAGGAGAGAAGCCGGTTGAAAGTGCCGTCGCTGTGTTAAACTCGAACAGGGTTAATCCGGATTAAATTCCAGGTCCCTCTGCTACCAATAAAACCAGAAAGGGCAAACACACTCCCCGGGAATATCTCGGGACAGGTGCATCTCGGCGTGTCCCGTGCCTGGATTACGAAGCTACCACAAGATAATAGGACTGTATGCTACACGTGTACGAGATAAAAGCAGTTTGTTGGCGACGCCAATGAAGAAACTTTGCTCAAGGATTGTTAGACACTCGATAAATGTCATCAACCAACACGTCCTTAAAATTTTTGAAAACAGTCGCAAGAAAATTATTCGAATAGAGATAAGCAAATGATTTACAAAATGTTACGTTATACATTTCGAGAAATACTTTCATGTGTCTTTTTTTCTCAAGAATTTTCAAAATGTAATGTTCATCAGTAATTCAGAAATATCTCGATATTTTTATTATTTAGCAACATTGCGAAAGATAGGATTTTGGAAATTTTATTGTGATATTATTATTATAAAAAAAGTTAAGTGCAACGTTGGGGAGAATTTCGAAAATAATTCCATAAAAAATTATAAAGAAAAGCAAAATATTAGACTTTATGTAATATTATTATTTACAAATTAAGAGATTAAATAATCTCTTAATTTATGGATAAATAATATTATTTGAGAATTTTGGCACATATTTATTTATCTAATATATGTAATGTATGTAATATATATGTATTTCTGAGATAAAATATATATATTTTTTTCGAGAATTATACTTTCAAAAAATATATTATTAGAGTAAAATATATTATCAATTATATATATAATTAATAATTATAATTAATAAATATAATTCTTAAAAAAAGGTATAATTCTGAGATAAAATATTATATATATATATATATATATATATATATATTTTTTTTTTTTTTTTTTTTTTTTCATATTTCTTCTCAGAATTATACTTTTCTTTCGAGAATTATATTTTCAAAAAATTGGAGAAAATATTATAAAAATATTAGAGAGAATATGTTACTTTCACTACTATATTAAGCGAATTTACTTTTAAGTGTTCATGTTTTACGATCTCCATTCTTCGTATATATGAGACCAAAATTAAATTAATATTTATTTCATTTTGTGAAACATTAAATATTAACTATTCAGAATTATTATTTCTAAAATATTCCTACATCATTCGCATCGCAATTAAAAAGTCTATAAATGCATATGTAACATATAATAACAAAATGTTGAAATATATCTATTCGTTTCTCTCTTTTTGTCAAATACATATAACTCTAACTGCGATCGGCTTGACATCGATATCTCCACATCACATATTAGGTACTTAGGTACTTCTTTCGCCAACAAATATAGGATCTCCTCTGTAAACATCCGCGGCTAAGTAACATGTCCGGTTCGACGAGAGAGAAAGGGAGAGGGAGGGGTAGGGGGTGCAAGTTGCAAACAACATAGCGATCATCACGAAACGCTATACGTAAGTCGATGGCGAAATTCGACTTAAAACCCGGAGATTCGAATCGAGGGACACAAGAGGTCCATTATCGTCCAAGGACAAAGGGATCGAGAAAAAAAGACAAACAAGCGGGTGAGATCAAGCATCGGAAAATGTGTCGCCGACACTTTCTCGACGCGAACGGGCCTTTATACGAGGCTCGGGCTTCGTGTTTTTGCCCGTGTAATTAAACGCCAGGACACGGTACAATGGCGGACACGACAAAGGGCGAAGGCATCCTCCCCCGAAAGATGATTTGTCCGCTGAACGGGCACAATAGATGTTACATGTCGGACATTTACTTATTGTAGACCGACAAACGTTCTCGTATCGTGAGTTATAAGGGATTTTTATCGGACTTACCGGCAAGTGATTTGCAGGCAATATTTATTTTCGTAGAATATTTTTACGAGAAATTAAGGACCCTAAGAACCTACTTTAGTAGTATAAATTGATAACTTTAAGGAATTTTTAAGACATTTAAGAATTTTTAGGGATTGATGATTTTAAGGAATTTTCTTGAAAAAATATTAGAAATAGATTTTTTAACGTTATGTTTTATATTTTTATTTCATGTTTAAATAGTATAACGTCAACATTTTTAAATCTTAAATATTTAGCTTTTTTTGCTCAATATTGTTGGACGAAGTGTATTCAAAAATGATGATGACATACTACTCATGTAATTATTTGAAATAAAAAACTCGATCTAGTTTTATTTCGTATTTTTGGGATCCTGAATTTAATTAGAATTTAAAAAATTAATATTCAATATATTGTTATTTTCTGATCTTTAAAAAACGAACAAATTTCAGCAAAATTAAAAATTCTAAAGTGAAAAATGATACTACTTTGTTATTTTTCAATTTTTTAAAAATAAAATTAGATCCAGAATCTCAAAAATACAGGAAACTAGACTGAATTTTTTAATTTCAATTACACAAAGAGCAGCACGGTGTCACAACCATGCATTTTTTAACAGGCTCTTGAATGAAAAAAGCTAATTATATTCAAGATTTAAAAATACAACTTAAACATCAATAAAATATATGTAAGTTGCCAAAGAAATGAGTTTTTAATATTCCTCAAAAAACAATTTCCAAAAAATTATCAATTTTTCATACCGCTAAAATAGATTTAATGACAAAAAAATTGATCTTAATTAAATAATAAATACTTTTAAAATCGCCTGCCATGCAATCGATATAGTTTAATCGAAAGATTACTAATACACTTGAGATTTCTTTACGCGATATAAATCATGCAATTGCAAGAGAGAGAGAAGGAAGAAGAGAGATTTCATTTTCTCTCTCTTCGTGAGCAAAGGAAAATGTTCCCCTTCGGGAGATCCGAAGGAGCAAGATATAAAGAGGTGATAGGATACTTACCTTTAAGAGTTGCTGTAAGAGCACGTAACCTTCCCGTCATCGCCGCGAGCTGTGTCTTGTGCTTTATGGAGTCGGCGTCGGCCTGTTCGGTGAAAGCTCGCTGCAGCATCCTTTGCGTTTCCTGCTCTTTGACTGAAAGTGCCTCTCGAAGATGATCGGCGTGTATCTCCGACTGCAATTTCAGTTGCCGCCGCATCTCGTCGTCCAGCTTCTTCTGCTCCGCCAGCAGCTGAAACACGAGGATGAATATGTCGCTCGTAAACGGAAACAACACGAACATTTCGTTTTACGCTTCCTTTTATGCCAAATAATCAAGGATAGAAATATACGACTTTACTGTAATAGAAGTAAATCTCTTTCTAATGATAAATTTTTATTCTAAGAACGTCATCACGCGATTTTCTTCAATGTTTCCTCGCCTCACCTGGCGAATAAATGTTGTTCATATAGATTAATTTTCATACTTTTTATTAAATTTCTCAGAGCGACGTGTGCAAATTTATGACACATCGCGTCTCTTCCCTTCAATTCCCTTCAGAGGAACAGGAGGAAATAAACGTCACCCGAGAGATAAGGCAAAGTCTCAGGAGACTAGATAAGACGATGCTTACCAGTGCTTTAAAGTCTAAAATAGCTGTCTGTCGACAGCTCGGTGACATTATTGTAAGGTACAAAAACACCAAGTCATATCGGCGTCCCGAGAATCTCGCGAAATGACAAAAAAATATACTCTTTGTCTGGAAACAAACAAGAGAGACGGAAAGAGTGACCTTATTTTCACAAACGTACGCTATATTAAAGCGAAATATAAAGATCCTAGGTTCAAGAAGAAGAGAGAGAGAGAATCGATTTTCATAAATTTCATAAAGAAAGGAAATCAAGAGGCTTTTATGTAAAACCCAATTACCGATATAAGAGTTCGCCCCCGCAAACACCACCCTCGGGGGCGATAATGCCGTTCGAGGTACACAGACCCCGAGGCATTAGCCTAATGAGACTTTGATGAATTATCCGCACTTAAGGCATCACCAGGGCTTTACCCTCACATCGGGTAGCCACCCAAGCCACGAAAATCTGGCCCATCCTATCTACCCCATTTCGCGGCCTCTGTTCCACGTCCGACGACGTCTCGTGCCACTCACCATCCTGACCAATCCAGCGTGTTTCGGGCAACGTCTACGAGAATCCGTGGACATGCATTGGCCCGTCATCATCGTCAGAACTTTGAGTACCAAGAACCCGTGTCAATAATTAACGCCCGGCTGACCCGACAACCCGTTTGACTCAAGGATGCAAGAGGGATTTCTACCCGCGCCACGGGACATGGATCCCTCGATCGTAGCTTATCAGTTTCACGCTAAGTCTACGAGAATGCCAAACGGATCATTTGGATAATTAATATCGATTATCGATTAAATGAAAACCGAAGACGCAGTGAGGAGGGAAGGAGGGAGGGGGAGCAAAGAGATATTATGACATAAAACCCACACTGAGAAAAATCGTTTAATTGTACCAACAAGACGTATATAATTGAAGGTATTTTGGTTAAATCAAACAAGAATTTTTAGTTATCATGATAAGACTCGATTTTTTATAGTTAGAACGTTTAATAGATTTTACTATAAGGATTTGATTAGTATTTTCTGGTTGGATCTATAAAATTTCTTATTACATTAATTTCTGTGCTTGCTTCTTAATTTAACTCGTATTCAATATATTTGCCATGAGATGTATATAAAGAACTAGTATTAACATTAAATCCAAAGTATATTTTTTTTCTTTTACGAGCAGTAGTGGCAGAAAGAGGACGCTAGCTCTCTGATTGTGTGTGTTTGAGCTGCATCTTCTTCTTGCATCACTGTTTATCAGTTTAATTTCTAACAAACTGAACTTAAAATAATAATTTATTCAATAATCTGGATTAAATTTATGCAATAATCGTGTTGGAATCCATAATCTGGATTGAATTTATGCAATAATCGTGTTGGATTGAATTTATGCAATAATCGTGTTGAAATTCAGAATATTAAACAGACTTTTGAAATTAGATGAAAAAAATTTTAAACGACTTGGTGCTGGCGAGTTTAGTATTATTAACCAGAAAATTTGATAAATTTAACAGGAAGAAATTAATCAGATTCATCTGGTAATTCCTACAAGAATTCTGGTTCGTCCATTTTCCAACAGACATACTGGTTGAATCTACCAAAATTCTAATTAATGCAACCAGATTTTTTTCTCAGTGCAGGACGAATGAAAATGAATCTTAATTGCAATTTTATAAAGTGGCGATTTCTCACGTTGAAAAAAGGGATTTCATATGCAATATAATAATATAAAGATGCGAATAACAAGAGGTAGGAGACTATTTCATCCAGGCGGAGATAAGCTCCTCGTTGCACTTCATAATCCCTTTAAAAAAAAAATGCAAAGTACTTCACTAATACCGGTCGCATGCTGCCAAGCCGGATTAATTAAATGCGGCAGAAGAAAAACGCGTGCCGCTTATATTCGCGCCAATTCACGCGAAAATCAATGTTTCGCTCGCAACAAACATCGCGACAGGTACTCTTATTATTCTTTTATTCTTTTTCTCTTGTCGTCGTAATCCTATAATCGCATTCAGCCCGATTATAGTCTCAAAATACTTACGCAATTATTATGTTTCTATTTATTTGCCATTTTGAAATTTTTCCTCCAGCTTAGATTAGCAATGTTGTAGAGTAAAACATGTAATATGCCTCGATATGCAGGGAAAATTCATTGCCCCATTCATTGCTCGAACATAATAAGCTTCAACAAGTGTTATTGAAACAGGAATCGATAATGATGATACACAATCAACTGAGAATCAACTGCACAGAATGCGATTTTATATTAAACAGAATTAATTATCAAATCAATTATCTTTAGAGAAAAAAAGTTGTAAAATTTGACATAGTATTTTTATTTTTAATCACACACATATTTTATCCCATAAAAGTAATTGTCATTATATATATATTTCATATATATTCTCACTGTATACTTTTGAAGATATAGCTTGTAAAATTTAATCGATAGTTGAATCATATATATTTTTTTAATGTTTTTTATTCGATATATGTAAAGATGTATTTTTCTTCAAAAATGCAAAAATATCCCATATAGGGATGCCCTAGTTCTATTGTAACAATTTTTTCAGCATTTTTTCCGGCAAACTATGAGCAAAATATATAAAAAAAATTTACAAGGATGGAAAAGCCGGAAGCAATGGCAAGGGTCCAGACCCTATGAATGTCAGTATTTTTTAGAAGAAATAAGGAAAAAGATGCAATTCTTATAAATATTCAATAATATTCAATCGATATTTTTATTGAGTTAAAATATGAATTTTTATGTTCCATCGAATTTTGTAATTTAGAAAAAAATTATTTTCGTCGATTATAATTATCTAAAGTATTTTTCATCAAAGCTAGGCCCTTTTAAGTATTTTCAAAAAATTGATCTTATAATCAGAATATTTCAATTAATCAAAAATTGGTGTAATTATTAATTGTAATATTAACAAATCTTTGTAAATTTCAACTACCCATAAAATCTGCTCATCATAAATGTATTTTATATTGATTTACTAAGAATGTATTACATCGTTTTACTCTATATTAAGAACATTTTGATATATACGCTAATTAATCAAATATCTGTAATTTCAAAAGAATATTCGCACATTTTTCCTGCGAAACTTAAAATGCAAAACATTGTACGAATTCTTTTTTTTTTTTTTTTTGACAGTGCAATTTTCTATCCCGTGACTTCCCGTACATGGCATTTGTCTTTCTCTCTTACTCTTTCGGATAACGAATTCCGTTCGGTTCTCGCGTTTATCTCTCGCGAAGACGAATTCGACGAGCGAAATCGCGATGGTTTTTCTCGGAGTGCGCGACTAATTTAATGACGACAATTTGTACGGCGATCTACCTAGGGATCGCGACGGTAAAACCCTCTTCCGGAAAGAAAGGAAAACGTATTTCAAGCTATTAACTCGCGCGGGTCGCGTCTCGCCGACTTCGCCCACCGATCGAAAGTTTGCGATGGAAAAACTTGAAGCTTTTTTCTAAGTGTCGTGAACAGGAATTCCCAAAGTTCGCGTCTGCGTTCAATGGTTACGCCGTGCTTGACTTGATAATCGACGAGAATGGATGGAAAAGCCCCCTTCTCTTTTTCTCCGACGTCGAAATCGTGATCGAGTCTTTCGTACAAGCAAAATGACTGTAATAAAGAATCTGTGCAATTTATGAGGATTTTAAGTTTTTTTAAATATAATTTTAGTGAGATTTCGAGAGGATTTTACTCGTGTTTTTTTCTTAAGTTCCTCAAAATAGGAAAGAATCCTCATTCCCATCATTTTCGGTTTACGTTGACAGCAAGTCATACGAGAAGATTCAGACAAAATTTAAAAGACTAGCATATATTTTCAAGTTTACTAGAGATAGACTAGACTTTATGACAATGATTCTGTCAATTTTTCGAAAGGGAGACGTTTCAATAAAAATATTTCTTTGGCTTTAACATAGGTTTTTTTTGCAATAATTTTTCTTGTTAAAGGCGCGTTCTCAAATAAAATGTTAAGGCACGAACAGTTTTAGAGTTGTAATACTTCGCCAATCGAAAATCGATAGTTCCCTATTGGAAATGAAGGGCTTTTCACGAAACTTTTCAAATGCAGTTAAACGAAGAAGAATAATCTTATTGTTCATATTCAATCAAACTTTACTTCTTATTCAATTCTAATTCGTAATTTAATTATCATATTTAATGTTGAATTCAGAATTTTCAGCAAATGGCACCCTATACGCGATAATTTTTTTTCTTTCTTTCTTTTTTAAATTGTCAAAGAACTTGTCGTTAAAGATCAAAGATTTCTAAATAATTTTACTTTATATTATATCATTTTATATTGATAGATTCCTGAAAAATTAGCAGTAACAATGACTTCATCTTTAAATTATTCCAGAATTGTAAACAGTAAAAATTAATATTTCGCTCGAGAAAGAAAGCCACGTGATTGATGCGTATGATTACGTTGACATTAATGTAGGAATTTTTCATCGCGCCTTCATGACTAGAGCTACTCTAGCAGTATGAAAAATTAATGGTTTCTAGAAATTTTTTCAAGAAATTGATATTTTTAACATTTTGATGTTTTTATTGATGTTTAAGCAAATATGTTAGTATTTTTAAATCTCG